AAGTAGATTAAAATATGCTTATTATAATTTTTTATATATTTTTATATTAATAAGATAGAGCTTTTTATATATTTATTATTCATTATAAAATATTTTTTAATTATTTTTTATTTAAATTAGATATGAAATTGTACTGTAATAAAATAATTGAAATAAATGAGCATGATAATACATAGTTCAAATAAATTTGTATTGAAATTAATTTAGATGAGCATGACAATAAGTTTTTTTATTATTATAAAATTTATCTTTCTATAACAGCTTTAATAAATAAAATTAAAACTTTAATGTCAATTTCAAGCTCGAATGAAAAAGCTTAATGATATTTTTCAAATTAGAAAATTTTGATCATGGTACTGCCATTGATTTTAATCATTTTCAAAAAATAAACATTTATATTTAAATGAATTTTATTAAAAAATAGAAAATAAAAAATTTAAAAGTTGGAACCTCGAGTCCTCGTGCTTAAATGAAGAGGACAAATTCTTTTAATCATTAATTAAAAAAATAAAGAAAAATAAAAGAATACCTAAAACCTAAACCATCTCTCTCCCCAACCTCTCTCTGTTCATTCCACATGCCATATCCCTCTCTTATATTCGGAAAATTATTAGGTCCGGACACCGGACGTAGAGATATGTCCAAACTCCAATAAAATATTGACACGTGAAGTGTACACGTGAATATTCAATTAAATTTATTTTTTACTTTATAAATTAAATGTATCCGCGGAATTTAAAGTCAAGCGCATCAAAAGCACAGGTAAAGCACAGGTAAAGTGTAGGTAAAGCATAGCCAAAGAGCAGCCAAAGCGCGGTCAAAAAACGCACCACAAGCGCAGCCCGCGTGCCAAATTTTAATTTGATATCTGGACCTATATCTATGTCCGGTGTTCGGACCTGTATTATGTCTGATGTGGGGACCTAATAATTTTCCCTTCTATTCACGACCCATCTCGTTCCCTTCCGCGCCAACGACCTCCAAGCCGCCGACCAATCGTCGCGCCTACCTCCTCCCCGCCGACGATCCAAGCCACCTACCTACCCTCACGCCTCCCTCTTCCCGACCGATGACCTCCAAGCAACCGAACGTAGCTGCAATGACCGTCCCAGTGGACAGCCTCCAAACCACCGACTCTAACCGCAGCGAACTTTCCCGCGGACAACCTCCAAACCGCCGAACCTAGCCGCATCAATCTACCGTCGCATTTCCCTCTTTCTTGTTGCCATCCTATGCTGCACTTCCCTTTCTCTCTCACTTCAGCACTCTTTCTCTCTCTAAACTTCTTCCCCCTCTCATCGTTCTTATTTTTCACCCTCTTTGGACTCCCCTATCTCTCTCACTCGGTAAGCGCTACACTCTCTCCTCTCATTTTATCAATCTCTCTCTTGAAAAATCCAAAACAAAAAAATACAAAAAAAGATCTTGTGCTGTGTTCTCTCACAAATTCACCTCATTGTCATTGATTCCACTGCACAAGTACAAAAATGCAACATGCTAAAATCCTCAAAGTATATCAATGATGCATTTTATGCATGGTGAACAGAACATGTGCACATTTTTCATCGGGTGGCTTGGGAAATTTGTAGGCGACATTTGTAATATGGTGGGTAACATTTGCTGTGTTTGATCACTCTTAGATGCTTTTTTTACCATGGTGGGAAATTCGTAAGCCATGCTTACGACACTAAGTATATCCTATGCGAATTTTTTTAGCTTAGCGAAAAAATTTAAGTGCTGCAAAATTCTCTCGTGCAGGTATTCAATGCTCGCCTTCCTTGGCATGATAGATTTGAAATTTTCAATTGTGATGTCATATGACACTGGTCATGAATGACTTTTTCTTCGTGGTGGGTAGACCCAACCTCTCTATAAACTTCCCTTATGAAGTGATACAGTGCGAGGAAGTCAGAATTTGAACTTAGTAAACTCTATATAACAACACACGTAGGACTTAAAATAATTAAAACGAAGCTAATTAAAGTGATGAATATAAAATTAAACATTTAAATGTAATGTAAATGATTCTAAAAAATAAAATGACAAATGATAAAGTAGAAATATATGATTTATAAAAAACAATTGAAATACTTGAAAGTTCACGAAGAATGAGAACATAATTGTATCACTACACCTAAAGCCCATAAAAATTGATGCAAGGAACTCAAGGTGAACTCAAGGGGGTGTGAAAATGAACTACACCACCCTCCCTCTAATTTGTAGGGGAGGATTGTACCTTGTAGGAACCACAACACTAAATAAAATAATAAAAAAATGTGCCAAAGGACGGCGTGTGAAAAAAGTATTGGCATTGTAATTTTATCATAAATTCTTCTTTTTTGTTGCTGGATTCATAATATTTTTATGCAAGTGGATTAAAAGATCATTACGAACTCAAAGTAGAAAATTTACAAGCATATTATAATATGAGAGACTATTTTGAATCAATTTTGCATAGTTTAGGGGCTAAATTGAGGCAACTTGATACTTTGGGACTATATTTGGCCATACAAAAATAGTCTTCCAACTATTTTAAAAATTTTTATGAAATGGAAAATTATCAATTATATAATGGGCATAAATCAATACCATAACAAAGAAAAAAAAATGTATGAAAATAAAAAAAGGGTTAGGGAGCATGAAACATACACTATGAAGTAATGCCTTTCGGGCAATATCTGAAATTGTAAGCTGACTTTGCCTGCAATCATTCAGAAACAACGGTTGTTAGAAAACCTTCTTGTTTATCATAACTACTAAAAGAATTGAAGGCCTAACAAAAATCATTTTAAAAGCTGAGAACTTGCAAACGTGTTAAGGTTAAGATAAATTACACTGTTTTGCTACTTTTTTCAGGATTTTTTTTTGTAAGAATATATTATTATATTTATTTAGCACATATTAAACAAATTATACTAATTAAACCATAATTAATAAATTAGTAATTTTAATTAATCATTAATTAGTTATTTATTGAGAAAATTAAACAATAACTTATATATAGATAAATTAAACCAATAGTAATATTAATTTAAATTAAACCAATAGTAATTAGCTTATGATTTTTTAATTGCTAATATCTTATTTAAGAAGAGAAAGGTGGATGAGATATTTTGCTAAACTTTTTAATGAAGATTATGAAAATAAGTAGTGACCTTAGCACCCTAAATGAAAGTAAAGATTTGTGTTTTCATCGACGCATTAGTAAAAATAAAGTTAGAAAGGCTTTAAAGAAAATGAATGGTGAAAAAGTTGTTGGACCTTATGATATTTCAATAGAAGTGTGAAAATGCTTAGGAGATGATGGAATTTATTGGCTTACTAAACTTTTTAATACTGTTTTGAAGACTAAAAAGATGCCATATGAGTGAAGAATGAGTGTGTTAATTCCTATTTTTAAGAATAAATGTAATACACAAGATTGTGCGAATTATATATGAATTAAGTTAATGTGTCATACTTTAAAACTATGCGAGTGAGTTATGGAGCATAAGTTGCGGCGTGATACTAATGTTTCTCAAAATCAAATTGGATTCATGCCGAGTAGGTCTACTATGGAAGCCATACATTTATCTAATGATGTTATCAACATTGGAGCCTCTGAAGACACCATTCAATTTGGTAGCTTAGAGTTTTCTGCAGCTACTGCAAAGGTTGCTGCCATTCCTATTCACAACATAACTGTTCAAGGTCATTCTGCGAGGCCTGATTCTACTGAAACTTATGCACGACGTGACTATTCCATGCAATAGCCACAAGCTGATATAATTACTACTGCTAAAGTAGTTCAACAAAACAGAACCTCATTCTTTGAGAGACTCTCACATCCTGAAGTCTTAACTGTGAAGAGGACTTATGTCAAGCAGAAACTCTGCCAACCTTATCAAGCATCATCACACTACCAACTGAGCCCTTCGTACCGAGAAGGCATGATCATGAAGTTTCCTCATTTGGAGGAAGATTATCCAGAAGACGGAAGAGAAAGTTGAATGCAGAGCTGCGAGCTTAACAACCACTACTTGTGCATCTGTCAATACTCCCAGCCTTGGAGCTAGAAGCTAACGTTCCCACCCAAAATAAATTTGCAAATCTAAAATGGGTGAAGAGGAATAACTCTACTGGCGAGTTGAAAATTTTATTTTGGGATCAGCAGCCCCAAACCCGGCTCCTCGGAAGAAGTAGCATGAAACTCTGTCCACTAGGATACACAGAGTTCTGAAAGTTGCCTAAGAAAATGGCTTGATAAAGAAGAGATATTAAAGGCCATTGGTAAATAAGACCACAAGAATCCCACCAACAGAGTTACCATCTGCCCCAGTAACTCAAGGAAAATCAAGATCAGCTCCACACGATGAACGTTGGATCATGAAATCTGAACTTCATATCTAGAAATCTACTGACAAAAGATCCTAGTGGAAGGGAAAGAAAATTTGAAGGCCGAGACTTCCTGAAAGAAGATTATCGCAAAAGAAAGTTAGTATAAGCATGACATCTGGTGTAACTCCCCATAGATCCGTTTTAATAAAAATCATCAAAAATGGGTACCTAAGGAAAAGGTTCTTATTACTGGCATTTGAAATAGTCGATACCTTGGAGAATCTTACAAGGAATCCTATTGCCATCCAACTTCATCGTCTCAGAAGAAGGTAAATTTTGACCGTACTCCTTCAATTAAAGAAGTCCCTGTACTGCATATAGAGCCAGAGATCTATTGGAAGCATCACTCTGAGATTCGAGTACAAGAAAATGATGAAGATGAAGATACTATGGAGGTTGAGGTAGTATATATGGTAGGGCACAGTGATAAGCCACATCAAACATGTGGCTACAGACAGCGCAATGAAGCAATACCCACCTTTTCCAAAACAACTACCTCTCAAGAAGATCAAGCTCAGTACGAGCAGGTAGAAGAAGAAAAAGTCCCCTTAGGCGATTGAAAAAATGAAGATCAAGAAGAAGTGCTTGTTGAGACATTAGCACAAGCATAAAGGCATTTGAAACTCCAATTAATGGAGAAAGATAAAGAGATATCAAAATTGAACAACAAAATGATAGAAATGATGGCACGGATGACTGTGATGATACAATTAATGCAAAAGAATATCATTACTATTCCTGTACTTGTTCATCCAGTTGATCATCAAACATTAAATCAACCAGTTAATCAGCAGATATCAAGTAGTGTTCCTCCTAATCTGCAAACCGACCCAACACCCCAGATGTCTGGAATTTGAACTACACCTAAAGGGAAAAATGAGGCTGATCGACTTGTCCATCTACAAACTCATTAAAATTTTGCAAGTACATCTGAGCCGATGATGACTCCACTGCTAGAATCAATCATTAATAAAATATTAAAGTTGTTATTTCCTCAGAGCATGTTGAAAAGTTTGTAAGGTTCGTCCATATCTAACCGAGTACGATCAAGTACCATACTCTAAAGGTTATTTAGTGACTAAGTTCAATACTTTTAATGGCACCGACAATCTCATATAACACTTGGCTTAGTTTAAATCAACTTATGAAAATACTGGAGGCATTGATGCTCTACTCATCCGCCAATTCATTAGTAGTTTGATTGCGACTACTTTTGAATGGTAGATTGAACTTTCTAATGATTCTGTTAAGACATTTACAGAATTGGAAAATATGTTCGTAAAAAAGTTCGGTGGTGCTACCGAGAAGACTACTATTGTTGACATTGCCCTAGAAAAAAGAAGAAAGGTGAGTTAGTGACAAAGTACATAACTAGTTGGCACAATATGAGTATAAAATGCGAACAATAGCTAGAAGATGAGCTCGTTGTTCAACTACTTCTGAGAAACATCAATGATAAGATGTTATCATTTTTATGCATGGCCTCCATCAGCACTTATTAAGAGCTACTAGATAGAGTAGCTAAGTTTTAAAAATTAAACCTGTCTAAGTTTGAAAATCATTCAGATAAATAAGAAAAAAAAAGTTATAATAATATATATCTTTTATATAGAGGGGGGAGTCGGACAAGAGGCGGAGACGGAGACCACAGCTAGGTACCGGCACTTGGTACTGCTGGGTACCGCTAGGTACCCAGTACTTGTGCGGACGATGCACACTCCGCACCTAATAATTTTTCCATGGCAGGAGACGGTGCCCAGAGGCAACGCCAAGCTTGATCGGGTCGGCTTCAAGCTTGGAGAAGGAAGGTCTACGAGTAGGACCAAGAGCAGACGGTCGAGTTCGGTCGTCTTGGGTACATCGGCTTCGGTGTCGGTTGCAGGAATCAGGCCGACGGCGACTTGCTCAGTGGATGGCGTCGGGCTCACAAGCGACTAAGGGAGGTCGGCTAGGGCTTCAGGTATGGACGAGCTTCGATTTTCTATCTCGGTCATGTCCGGCAAAGAGAATCGAGGGAGACCCGAGAGCTCTGCTTGCAATTTTTTCTGGTTTTCTGAGCGCGTGAGTCTCTGAATGAGGGAGGGAGTCTATTTTGATTACGTAATAGAGAACGTGGGGGTCGGTTTGAGCGGTGTCCAATCGTGGGGAGCGTTGGCTAGGTCATGGGGTGTCCGGTAGTTACAGTCAACAACGCGATCTAATTAGCCAAGGAATTTAACTGCAGTCCGCATACCCACCGTCAATTATACCACGCTCACTCGCTGAGCTCTCCTCCCTCGCCTTCTCTTGATTCATCTAGAGTTTCCTCTTCTCCTCGCTTTCCGGTATCCTCCAGCCTGAAACTCATTCGTTGGTTAGTCAAGCTCAATCTTGACTCCTTCATTTGTGACGTGCACATCTCCTCAACATGGAAGATACTGCTTTTAGGGGGTGTTTGGTATCGGATTTATTTTGAGTTTTTAGTAGGATTTACGGTAAATCCAGCCAAACGCAAAAAAAGTTGCGGTAAATCCGGCAAATCCGTAAATCCCGAATTTGCGGATTTACGGCGTAAATCCGATAAATCCGGGTAAATCCTAATCCCGCTAGAAGTCGGATTTAATGCAACTTACACTGCGAAAGTTCTTCCCGCGACGCTCGTGTCGTGATCTCCTTCCCGACCTCTTTATGTACATGGAGGAAGACACAGCTTCTTCTTCATCCTGTGCCCTAGCCGCTCCCGAAGCACAATCGTTGGTTCCCGCTCAAGGTCGCAAAGGTACTCGCAGGTTTTTTTTTTTCAGCGGTAGTTCAGTTTCTCCTTCCCGAGGGAGCAAGAGCGACCAGGTTTTTTTTTTTTTTTTTCTTCATGAGCACGACAGAGAGGAAACTGAGGAATACCGAAGATTTCCTCAAGAGGAATACTGCTCGGTCGTGCTCGCTCAAGGTTGCTGCCCTTTTTTTTTCCCTTCATGACAGAACAGATCTTTGGTTAACTATTGTACTACTGAACAGATAATATCATTTAATTCAAGTGTTTCTTTGGTTAAGTATTGTACTACTTAACTAATATTTTTTTTTCTTCACCACAACAAGGCAAATATTTAAGCAATAATTTTGTTTGAAATGTTTTTATTTTTTTCTTACTGTGTATTGAACTATTGGCATTTCATTTGAAGTTCAAGATAATATCGTTTATTTAGGCAGCATTGATATAATTTGGCTTAGAATATTCAAGTCTTAATCTTTAGTTGAACTTTGTCCTAATTGAATTACAGTATGTTTTTAAAATTATCGGAAGTATTGTACTAATTTGATTGACAAATATAACACGATGAGAATATATGCTCTTATAATAAAAATCTAGTTTTCGTCGATATGAAAGTAGCAAGTGTGAGCGACAACGAGTCATCAAACACTATCTACCTACGTAAGACCGATAAAAGTTCTTAAAGGAAACCTAAAAAAAAACTACTTGTTTGCACAACCTTTAAATTTCTTAGAAAGAATATCCTCGTTAATGTATGACAGCAATGCAGAAATTTCTAGATGGCAAAGGAGTTGGACGTGCAAGCGGTAGTAAGCAACGTCGTGATTGTGACGACATCTCAATTTACTCCGGCTTGCCCAAAAGTACAACTCGAAATCCAAAGTGGCCAGAAGATCATAATGTCATACTTGGCGAGTTGCTATTGGAAATATGTTAATGGCAATTTTTGTAATGGGAATATGCTAAAGGAACAATGGGCTAGCTTAGTAGCTGTGTTAAACAGGCGTATTAAAACCAACTACACCGACTCGTCCGTAATGATAAGATTTAAAAATATGAAGGTTAATTTTAGAACACTATATCAACTAACAAACCGTAGTGGATGGGGTTGGGATGAGGAATTACAAATCCCTGTAGCTACTGACGAGTTGTGGGATGAAATTCAACAGGTATTATTTTGTTTTTTACAATTAAATATAATTCTTAAATTTTATGCATCCAAATCAATAAAACTTCATTTTTCTAGGTTAACCCAAAGGTAGCTCGATTTAGAAGGCACCCCTTCCATCAGTATGAAATATTTGAGAAGATATGTGCCGAGAACATTGTAGTGGGAAGTGATGCAAGATGCACTAAGATGTCTGAGCCAGTGGTTAACTTAAACAGTGAGGAAGATGCTCCACACATTAAAGAAGATTTCCTAGCTGCTAACGGTGTTAGCTAAGACATAAACGGAACGCCACCCAACAACCAACCTAACACTGTTGGCATAGATCCAAGTGTGGAAATGGACCCAAGTCCAACAATACGTACAAAAAGATCTAGCGAGAAGCCAACTAAAGCTGCTAAATGTCCGAAAAGGAAAAATGGCTTGCAAAATCTTAATGAACTCTTAGTTGATTCAAACAAGAATGCCATTCTCTTTAGAGAGACAATTGAAAGTACAGATCCTTATAGTATGCGTGATTGCTTGGCCAAGTTTCCTGTGACTGTTCAAGTTGATCTGGTAATTGCGTGTGCAGTCCTGCACAACTTTATAGGTCGCTATCATGGACATGACAAGTATTTCAATATGTCACAGATAGAAATGGAACACGATAGTGAACGTGGGAATGTTGAAATGTTGGATGAAGATCCTAACTTGCACGCAACAATAGGAGAACGAATTCAAGGAGAAGCGATAAGACATGTCATTGCAACTGATATGTGGAATGCCCGGGTAAGGAAATATGTATGCATTAAAACTAATTTACCTTTCATTACAATATTTATGTAATTTAGCATTTTTTTTTTATTTCAGATAAATTGTCAAAGAAATCGATCATCGTCAGGAAGTTGTCTCCAATGCAACAAATATCAACATCACCTTTATGTTGTAGTGTATTATCTTGTAGTTGTTAAGTGGTCTCCAAAAAAAAAATTCTTGTGGTCATGTACTCTTTATGCGTTTAGCTATTTTCATTGAATGATGTTATGTTTTGTTTATTATTTAGCATATTACTCCAATTTTAAATCTCCAACCGTTTTAAATCTTGTTATCTGTTGCCAAACATCTTTCTGGATTTAACAGGATTTAAAAAATGTCATACCAAACACAATTCAGGATTTAAGAGCCCAAGATTTACTAAATCCATATTTACAGGATTTAGTAAATTCTACTAAAATTGAATCCAATCCTATACCAAACACCCCCTTAGTATCTTGTAATATGTAGGTACATATTTGAAACATGTGTACTTTATACAAGCTCTCAAAGCAAGATAACTGGGACTTCAATGGGAATTCAACTAAGTTCATAACAAATGTCAGCATTTCTATGCATAACTACAGAGTTAATCCTGAACTACTATGCAAGAAAGACAGCAGGATCGTTCAAAGGAAAAAAAACATTAGATATCAATCTAATTCTACGAATATACGAAAATTAGAAATATTGTCTCTCGCTTTGAGTTCAATCTACTAAAATAGAAACATAATGGAAGATGGAGTTCAATGCCAGCTTTTCTTATTTTGAGAACATTATATGTTAATTTTCCTGATGTAAACGTTAAATGTTCTCTTTCTTCTTATGTTTAATCTTTACAATATGTGCACATCTTCACACTAAGAATTATATAAAACTTAATCATCTAAGCAGCACATTAAAAAGATTATCAATAAGTACATCTTTATTAAAAAGGGTATCTAATTCTCCGACAATATAACGCACATCAAATATCTGTACTAACCCTTTCAAGTGATGTTCTTCGAGCTGTGTTTGGAGCTGATGCTCTGCCAAGATTCCTGATGAACCCAATGCCAAAAGTTTTTCCTTCAAGACTGCAACTGCAAGAGCACAAGAGCGGACTGACCTTTGAGCAATGACCACAATTCATAACGTATAATTGAATAATTGCATCTGTCAGACGAGGCATTACATAGTACAAGCATGTCCTATCACAAATATATATATAACAAATGCATCCATCTGCATAGCCATGCATCTCTCTCTCTCTCTCTCTCTCTCTCTCTCTCTCTCTCTCTCTCTCTCTCTCTCTCTCTCTCTCTCTATATATATATATATATATATATATATAACAAGTTGTGTGTGATATAAAAGTTTCACCCTTATAGTGGCAAGAAAGCATTCAAACAAATAATTTTTTCAACCACAAGAATTACCAGAACTAATAGACATTAGCATTTGAGACAAAGAAATAAAAGAAATTATAGATGCGGTTACAGGTAATGGATAAAAAATTTTGACTTCACGTAGGAGACAATAAGAGAGATTTAATTGTTATCTACAGGTGAAAACAGGAATAAAACGGTAAAAAACAAATAAGTCAACAGAAATACAATGTTCGCCAAAGGATATAGTTCTAATTGCAAAAGGAAATTGCTATGAGTTACCGCTTGATCCTCTTGCACTTTGGAGAAAAGCGAAGAGTTGCTTTCTTCCCTCTCTAGTGTATGCAGTCTTACTTCTGAGGCTATCTCCATCCTTCATATCCTATTTCGAAGAAACGGCAGCTTCTTAAGAAACTGAACTAAGATGTCAAAAATAAGTTTATTATGATTATCATACTTCAAACAGCAAGGCAGCTAGATTTAGTTTTGAATGAACTGCTAAATTTTTTATCCGTGGAAGCGGGAATACTGCCTCCCCATTCTGACGGGTCAAAATTTGTGTGATATCAATTGCCTCAATAGCTGCAACCAAAAAGCCAAATTAAAAACTAATAAAGTTAGTCGAAGCATGAATTTAATTGTCAATTGCGTAGATAATAACAAAAACTACAGGTAGATTAGGCTCTTTGGTTCATTACCACAAAGGTGCAATGAAATGTGCACTAAGGCTTCCTTTGGGACGGCTTTCTTATTGCTTCTTAAAGAAACTTTTTAGTACAAAAAATTAGTTTTTATACTAAAAAGCTGCTTTAAGAAGCAATAAGAAAGCCATTCCAAACAAAGCCTAAGATGGCTAAAAGTTGTTTCTTAAAGCAATAACAAAGTATTTGGTTCATCTTCAAGGAATCAACGCAATCAAGATAACGGGCAGCAAATGCTATTGTTTGTTCTCGCTCAAAAGAGAGATGGTGCTTGTGACACAAAAAGAATCCGATTTGCAGCCAGGGAATTTCATTCTTCTTGAGACATATTATAATTAAGCAAATTCCTCTTGAGAGTAGTATCGGGGTTTATTTAGATCCGGGTCTTTACTTCCTAGGAGGGTAAGCCCTCATAGTTAATTACCCCTCCTAATGCTTAGAAGAGAACTCTCGATTAAGGATGAATTAATATTTTAGATGTGCAACAATTTTAATTTTGGTTATGAGGGATGGAGGTAAAACCGATCAAGATCTCATGATTCTGTAATCCCGAAAATACCGTAGATTACAGTATACCAACACTATCAATCATTGATCGTAGTGTTCAAGAAATATGATTAACAGTCATGGGTTGCCTTATTTCAGGGATCTAGAGTGAATTGAAGTGGGTAGATATTATGATGATTTGGTTTAAGTTGGGAATTGCAACGCCACTTGGGAGTTTCCCGTAATTTAGATTTAGGTTAGGTATTACGACCCCGTTTAGAAGTTCCCTATAGTTTAGACTTAGATTATTTCTCACAACCTCGTTTAGGAATTACATGTAGTTTGGATTTTGGTCGAGGCTTATGGTTTTCATTGAAAGTAGCCCGTATAGCAGGTCATATGGCTTCCCATGGAAGTAGCCCATAGGTTTTGTTTGAAAGAGGATCCTACTGCTTTCATTGAAAGTAGCAGTGCAGCAAGTCTTACAGCTTCCATTGGAACTAGCCTATAGGTTTGAGTTTAGAGTTGTTCAATTAGAAGTTTTCCTAGCAAATGGGTCTTATAACTTCGCTTAGAAGTGGCCCGTAGTTGGGATTTATGATTATGTTACTTTTACCTAGAGATTCCCCTAACGGCCTCTATGAGAGGTTGCCAAGTTGTTTGGTTGAAAGTTTATTACTTCTTGTATAAATTCCCCAAATAGCAGGTCTTACAACTTTCTTTGGAAGATGCATGGCTAATTTAGTAGGTTTTACGGCTTTTATATTTAGAAATAGCCTGAAGGTGTGTCTTACGACCTAACCCTATAAGTTAGGTGACACGTAGTTGGGATTTAGGGTTAGGTTACTTTTTCCTAGAGATTTCCCATAACATGTGTCTTACAGCTTCAATTAGAAGTAGCTCGTAGTTGGGATATGTTATTTGTTCCGGGAAAGTTTTCCTTATTACCCTAATTAAAGTGAGCCTTACTGCCACAATAAAATGAGTTAATTTTTTAATTTTTTTTTTATAATTTTTTGAATCCCTAAAAGAATTTCTATAAATTTTCTACTGCAAATTAATAATATTATTATTATATATTTTTTCATTAATAAATAAAAAGAAAATATCTAAATCCATCATAGCTTTATTCATGTCATTTTTTCCTTAATTGAATCGTTTTTCTCCAAACATAGAGTTGGCTTAGAGACTTAAGGAAGAAAGAGAGGTGAGAGAAGAAAATTTGGTTTTTGGACGACTTCAAGCCGTCTTCGTCCGTTGGCCTAGTTGGAAAACTTGTTCGTCTCCAGGCAAGGCACATTATGCACATCTCAATTTTCAAAAATACGCATGTTTTAGCAAATTTTTCGATTAAAATTTTGTATCCGTTAGTAAAAAATGTGGATAACTTTGCACAAGTAAAACTTTCACCATGTAACTTTTTATAAGTTACAGAGATTACAATTATGCATATTTTGAATATTTTTTAAAAAATTTTCAATGGGGGATTTAAAATTTATAGAGTTTTAATTGAATAGAAAATTATCTGGATGTTGAAAAATAGTTATGTAGTACAATATAAGTCTTAAAACATCATTTTACATAATCCCTGATAATTTGATAATTTTCTGAAAATGTGTATTTTTTGCCAAGATGGATTTTTTATTATCTACCGTTATACAACAATATGAAATATTGATACATGTTCAATTACTCTTTAATTATTATAATGTGAAGATATATGTGCATATGTGAATAAATTATATTTATTGGGAGCTATAAGAGGCCAAAATCCTCTGAGATTCTATCTATGTCAGAGAATTGCTATGAGTTATAAGGGATCAAAATCCTTTAAGATTCTGTCTGAGATAAGGATGTGTGATATGTTCTGATGTTATAAGCACAAATGAAAAGTAAATCATAATGGGCCAAAATCCTTTGAGAATCTGTCTGGATTCGGGAAACATGAAATGAACTATTTTGTGATATAATTTTTAATTTATTTATTTATTCAGTATTATTATTTATATCAAGTAATAATTGTTATGCATTTATTACATCTCTCAGTATAGTAATTTATTTATTGAGATTATGTTTAACTTCTTTTAAATATTCAACAAAATATTTGATAAAAGAATACTTGAAAATTTAGATTGGTTTGTGTGACTTGGTGAGCTGTTGTAGCTCACTGTAATTTTCCTTCTAATTTTCAAGATCTGCGAAGGGGAAAGAGATTGTGGACTAGCAATTTAGGATCAAATCTGAAGTTATAAGTATTTTATTATTTTAATCTTTTTACAGTCATTGCTAGTTAAATTTTTAGTTATGTAGCTCTTGCATGTAAATATATACTATAGTGTATATATTTATTTTGATGAAATGAAAGAAAATTGTGGATGAATTTAATTTTTGTATTTTGATGTTCTAGTAACTATGTAGTTTGTAGTCTATTTCAATTAATATCGATAGAAAATTTGAAATAATTCTATAATTAGATCTTAGGATTTACCTGTCATAGCTCAACACGATAGGACCTATCCTGATTAGGTTGGATTGTGACAAGTTTTACTTATAGTACTAGCTCTTTCAACGAGTTTTTTTAGTATTAGTTTTGGTTTCTTTTCCAGTTTTAGTACTCATTTTTATTCTTTTAGTACTTGTTTTTTTTATTTATCATCCTACATTGACTTTTGTTTACTTATATATATATGTGTTCATGACTAGGAGTTGCAGCAGCTGGAACTTACAGTTGTCGGGTTTGCGAGGAGCCAGAGGTTGTACAGGGCTGAAGCCTACCAGGAGCTGTTTAGGTTTGCCTGGTGTTTTTTTGGAGCTTTTCTTTCTCTTTTCTACTTTCTTTAGTTTTAGGAGTTTGATGCTTAGTTGGTGTGTGTTGTTCTTAGGTTTATAGTGTGAACATTGTTCTTTTACTATTTTTAATGCATTTTATTAAATTTTGAATTAATTGCATTTATTAATTAATTAGGTTTTTAATTAAATAAAATTAAAAGTAAAAGTTTAATTTAAAATTCACTACTTAGCTCATTAATTTAATATTTTAAATTTTAAATGTATTTTTAAAATTATTTAATTAATTTAATTATAAATTAAATTAGTTGTTCAATTAATTTAATTAATTAAAATTTTAATTTTAATTTTAAGTTTTATTTTTATTAAGTAATTTAATTTTTATGCTCATTATAGGATTAAGTAGATTTTAATTAGAAGATTTAAATCAATGAAATTGATTAATAAATTATTAAATTAGTAAAAAAAATTTTAATTAGTTAGTTAATTAATTAGAATTTAGTTTTGTTTTAATTAATTAATTAATTAAATTAAAATTTTAAATTAATATTAAATTAGATATTAATTTAATCATTTATTCAATTAATTAAATTATAACTTAAAGTTGAATTTTAATTTTATTTTTAAAACAAGTTAATTAGTTATCTGGTAAGGTTAATTAATTTAATGTTTTAAATTAGAAATTTAATAGATTTTTAAATTGATTTTTCTTTTAATTTGACCTTATAATTAACTTTTTTGATAGGTCTTACAGTTTCTGTATTTAGATGTTACTTGAAGGTGAGTCTTATAACTTAGCCCTATAAGCTAAGTGACATGTAGTTGTGATTTAGGTTTAAGTTACGTTTACTTAAATATTTTTTCTAACATGTGCGTCTTACAGCTTCTATTAGAAGTAGTTTATAGTTTGGATGTGTTATTTGTTCTGATAAAATTTTTTCTTTATACCTTAATTAAAGTATGGCTTACACCCTCTATTAGAGTTTTAACAGTAGATACCTAGTTCTGTGCTTTAACCACCTCGACACTCGTACTAGTGTTTTGTTTACTATCGTACTTAGTTTTATACTAGTTTTTTTTAGTACCAATTTTCTATTTCATTTTAGTTTCAATACTCGTTTTTATTTTTTTTTTTTTTTTTTTTTTACCACCCTGCACTAGTTTTTACTTGTCTGCATGTGTTCGTGGATAAAAGTTATGGGAGCTAGAACTTACAATTATCGGGTTTGTGAGCAGCTAGAGCTTGCACGGGGCTGGAGCTTACTAGGAGCAACTTAGGAAACGGGAGGGCGAGAAGAGTTTCATGTGCGGGATCGGCAAGCGGCTCTAGTCGGAGGAGCAATCTGGCTTCGTTGGCACGAAGGAAGCGGATTAGACTCGGCTTCGGGTTCGCAGAGGTAGGCTAAAGTCGAGTTGGTGTCGCGGCTTGTCGCGAGTGTTGAGGAGCCGGGGTCGCGGGCTTGAGGGAGAAGAAATTGGCGGCTGGCTCGTGTGCGGCCGAAGCTTCCTGTGCTCGACACAGAGAGGGATCGAAGGAGAGTGGCTCTACTTGCGGTTTCTGTCGAATTGAGAGGGCGCCCCTTGGGAGGGAATTTCGTCCGGCTTTACTAGAGGCGAGCAGGAGTTATGTGAGTGGGATCATTTGTGAGTGGGGTCGTGGGTTTGTGGTTAGTTAGAGGTCAACAGTGTTAACTTGACATAATAACAGTTTTCACCAGAGTAATCATAGAAAAAGATTACAATTAAATGAATCTAAAGATTCTAAACGATTCATAAGGCCAACACAGGTCAATAGAGGTAAGGCTGACAATGATAAACTATCAAAGCGTTCAATAGAAAGAGTTGATTCTATTCACTAATTCGTTACAGCAAATTGTTCTTATAAATGATACTACAGAAGGATTGCGTACCAAATGCGAAAAACGCACTCACCAGTGAGGTGTCTGTGGTAGGGGCCTTGTGAGCAGAATTTTAAAATCAAATGGAAAAGCCAACACTTGATAAGAAAACAGTGAAGACATTAAAATTTAGAAAAGCATCTTTCATGGTTGGTATTAATATGATTCCAATAGAATGAAAATTAGAAGCCAAGAAAGAGAAAAGGAAGCTGTTTTATTCAGAAGTTCAGATTTCATGTGATAACTATATTATCGAAGTCATCAAGTTGGAAATTGACGAGATACTATTGAATCAAGTGGAGCTTTATGAATTACAGAAATAAACAATCAAAGGTGACAACGTAATGTTTAAATAAGTATTTATTATTATCACTCCAGTATTAGTTCCCACTGCTAGTTCATAGGAAGAAAGAAAAGGGTAAAGACCTGCATGCTCAAAAAAGGTAGCGTGAACTGCATTCGGATTTGGTGCTCGCGTGCTCCACACATGAAGTGCTCCATCCTTTGAAATAGTGACAAGCAGTCTCAATGTAGGAAGCCATGAAATAGATGTAACAGGATGGGAACCAACTTGTGTACTGTAATAATACAGAAAATACCATTTAGTGAAGAATAGTCCACCGTATTGCAAATCTACAATTTTTGCAATATGCAGAACTAGTGAAACATCCAAGCATCATCATGCATAAAATGTCTAGATCAAGGAGACGGCATTAAGGATTATCAATATAGAAGAAAACAATAATTTTTAAAAACCTCATGCAAAAGATATTTAACTAAGAAAAAAAATTTTCCTCCCACTATCTCTATGGTAGGTCGTCAGCATTTAGGTAAAATTCAAAGAACTTCAAATTCAATTACAATAACAACAACAAACCTTTATCTCACTATGTGGTGTCGGTTACATAAATCTTTTTCTCCATTGTGTCCTATTAATAGTCAAATTCTCATCTAAATATATTAAAGAAAGGACATTTTTAATATTTTCTAATCAAGTCTTTTTAGGTCTACCTTTACCTTTCTTAACATAAGTCAAATCTAGTGCATCTACTTTCCTAACTAGGTCATTGGAAGGCTGCCATTTAATGTGACCAAACCATCTAAGACGACTCTCTAATCTTATCTTCCACTAAAGCTACTTCAACCTTTTCACGTATATGCTCATTTCGTATCGTATCTCTAAAAGTAAAGCCACTCATTCACCTGAACATCCTTAGCTCTGCAACAATTAACTTAATATTATGTTTTTCTTTTAATGGCCAACATTCTTCACCATAAAGTATTATAGGTCTCACAAACATCTTGTAGAATTTTCCCTTAAGTTTGAGAGGGACTTTCTATCACACAACAAGCCCGATGCATTCCTCCACTTCAACCATCCAACTTGAATTCTACTAATAATATCCCCGTCTATTTCACCATCACTCTGAACAATAGACACAAGATATCTAAAACGTGTACTCTTAATAATGACTTGATTGCCCAAAGTCACAATTCCCCCACTAGATCTATTATTACTAAAATATTAGGCATTAATTTTATCTAGGATGTAGATGAAAATGCTCCATCAATTATTATTTTAATGGAACCAAGTTTTTCCCGGCCTTTGAACAATATTGTCATAAGTTTTGCTTCTCATATAAAAATACAGTTAAGTCCAAGGTATACACAATAGAAATCTACCAAATTGCTAGTTAATTTTCTTCAATATAAATAAGGACATTGTATACGCTAACAAATAAGATCCAATATCAAAGTAAGTCCAAGGTATACTGTCAAAATGGAAACAAGGGGATACTTAGAGCTTGAATTGGTTCTCTTTATGCTAATCGTATTAAATCTAATCTAAGGCCAGGATTCAGTACCCTCTTTTCTTAGTTTTTTACATAGACTAATTTATAGCTCATGGTTTGTTTTTTGTGAACTATTTTATCAAATTTTGGTGAGCATTGCTTTTTTATGCATCTCCTGTTGTCCATGTTACTTGTAATGTTAATCCTCTTTTGTAATTATTCTTCAGGTTAATAAAATTAGGCCAAGTGGACAAAACGTGATGACTATGGTCATTGTGTTTGTGAGAAAATTATTGAAGGAAGAAGTTGTGTTAGATACATTAGTGGTAAGACTTATTTTTAACTAAAAAACTTTTAAGCTTATATATGAGGGAAAACCATTTTATATTTTTGGACCAGCACATTTTTTATCTCAACCTGGCTAGGACACTAGAATTAACGAGGTGGGAACAAACAGTCGTACGTTTATAAGACTTCTTCAAATTCAAAACCAGTTTATCAAATACATTATAAAGAAAAACTGCAGATCAACTAACACAATTTTCATTAAACTAATAATAAAATCTTTTGCATACTTAATATTTACATAAAACATATATTATCTGCTTGTGCATCGTCTTCTGTAGACATATTCCTCTCCTTAAGTCATTTCTATTTGTCATGAGACTTACCTTAAAATTTAGTTTAATAGGTTGAGTTTAAACTCAATGGGTAATCATGGCTGTAGCATAAAAATTTTATATACATAAAATAAACATTTTCTTTTGGCTTTCTTTTTCTTTTCCTTTGGCTTTTATTTTCATTTTCATTTCCATTTCTATTTAACGTGCATGGGTACGTTGCTTCCCCAGCCAGTACCATACGGGAATGAACTTCTATAATTTCCATGCATACACATTTTCCATCTTTTAATTCATCAATTTCAGTTAAATCATCATTTAGTATTTCATTTTCTTTACATTATATTGTTCATTTCCTTTATATTTTATAGTACTATGTATGTCATTTTATTTATATAGTGAATAATTCACATTATCATTTCTATTCATATAATTTTCATTATACAATAATCATTTCGTCAACATAATATTCATTCCATCAACATAATACTATAATATACAATAGTTACAATAAACAAAATGAAAGTAAATAACATTAAAGGAATTGGAATTGATATAACACAATTAAAATTACCCACTTTAATACTTATGTACTTCAATTCCTTCAAGTAGTTGATCCTTGCAATAGCCTTCCTGAATGCAACCTAAAGTTACTCATCCAATTACAAACTATTATAATTCATTAATTCATATATATATTTCCTAAATATAATCTTGTCTCAAATCATTTTTGAGATCCTTTATTGACTTCAACACTTCACCTTCATGCACTAGGTTAATTAAATCCTCAATTTTTCCAAATCATTTTAAATTGCATTAATCATTGCTAACTAGTTTATAATCATCTATATAACCATCGAGCATGAATTATTTGTCAATATGATTGCCTTAATAAGTTAAATCTTCTCTCCTTTCTCTTTAAAATGAAGTTTTCATTCACAAGAGTTCTTCTTGCAAGGATTTTCTTCATATTGAAAATCAAATACTATGTCTTCCCATCAAAATTAATTTTTTATTTAATTATTTTCTCTAAAGTTGGATATAAAATAAAATAGGAAGTTCGAAATCATTTACAAAAGAAATTTTCCAACACAAAATCCTTCTTCTTTCTCTCTCAAATTTCTTTCTTTACCTTTAAAAGAGATATAAATCTTTTCTTAAGTTTAAATCATAGAGTTGCATGCAAAATGAACAAGATTGAAAAATAATATACCTTCCTTCTCCTTCTACTTCCTCTCCGCTAAATCCTCTCGTACAAAATTTTTTAACTTGAGTTTTTTGCCACTAAAGTGCGTGAAAGGAGATTATTTCTCATAAGGAGTCACTACCTTTCACGTTCAAACGTAGAAATCCACTCAATGGTGCGATTCGAACCGTCCAGGATAGTTCCCACACATAGGCAGCTTCACTTGCGTTTCACCTGGACCACGATCCTTCCCTCCCGCTCTTTGTTCCGCTCTCTTTATTAAACAGAGGCCAGTTAAGCTTAACCAGCTGAACCGGTGTTTACAATTTTCCCTTCTTATAAAAAAATTATCTTTGAAATTTAATAGCAAGGATAAATAGACATACCTAAGTTGAATAGATGAGGATATTATGCTTTTATTTATGATTATTTCTCCGAGGTAGTATCTTTTTATGTTCCAAATTTCCATAAAATATTTACAAAATGTATTTTTCGATTTCTTTGCTGTTTCACTTCATATTCTAGCATCCTTTCAGGTTTTTCAACATATTTTAATCAGGCTGCAAGTCAATAGATTTTGATTAGATTTTATTTGACTCATCTGATATATACTTCTAAAGCCCTGATATGTGAAACAAATTATGTTTCTCTTGCATATGTACTGACAGAGATAATTTGTATGCCATATTTTCAATCCTCTCAATAATTTTAAAAGGACCAATGAATCGTCAGCTCAATTTTTCTAACTTTCTAATTTACTGTATAGCTTTTGTTGGGCTGACTTTAATGAAAATAAATTCTCCCACTTCAAACTCAACTGACATGTGCTTTGCATCATAATATTTCCTCTGTCTATCCTATATTGCTTTCAGTTTATCTTAGATCAATCTGATTTTGCTAATAGCATCATCCACTAGTTCAATACCAATTATTTATCTTTCACCTATTTCTGTCCAATACAAAGGTATTCTGCACTTTTTTTCCATAAAGAGTTTTGTACGACATCATTTTAATGTTGGATTAAAAACTATTATGATATACAAATTCAATTAATGATATATGAGTTTCTCAATTTCCTCCAAATCTAAAATGCATAATCACAGTAAATCCTCTAAAATATGAATTATTCTTTCTTATTGTCAATCTGTTTGAGGATGAAATGCAGTATTGAAAGTCAATCTGGTACTCAGATCTTTCTGAATCTTCTTCCATAACCTGGAAGTAAATCAGTCATCTCTATCATAAATTGTTGATATTGGAATTTCATGCAATCTCATAATTTCATTAACATATATCTTTGCCAATTTTTCCACTGATTTTGTCTGTTTAATTGGTAAGACATAGGCAAAGTTTTTCAATCGATTAATAATAACCCAAATTCCATCCCAACTATGCCTTGATGATGCTATCAAGAATTACTGTACTTTTTATTTTATTTGAACAATAGTATATTTTGTTTTCTATTTTATTTGATTTTCTTTTTAGCTATCCAATGATGGGAAAGCATCTAATGATCATGGTAGGTTGTGCATAGGACTTGGTAGACCTTTGATTTACTGGCATGATTGGTCCTTGGCTGCTGATGGTTCACGGGTTGGCTGTTTTGGAGCACATGGTATTGAGCTTGTTCTTTTAGTTGCTTGAAGCTGGAGTTTAGTAGCTCTTTATTCTCAAAAGGTACCTCATTAAAAAGAACTACTTTTGGATTGGCCTTATCCCTTCCCCTTCCCCCCTTCTTCTTGTCTCTTGGAAAACCGTGGCTTGTATTTAATGGGGGCTAAATTCGATGCATTAGAATTTATGATGGAGTTACTGATTTTTGTGCTTTACCCCTTGGGAGTCCAGCCTGCCTCTGTTTTTCCATGCTGGGGTGTTTTTCCCGTGGATGTGTTGCTTTGATTTCTCGGCCTGCTTGCTTCCGAGATGTTAGCTCCTTGGTTCCGTGAACTACCTTTGATTCCCGTAACTGTTCCTTCAGGATTTATGCTGGGCTGTTTTCCGAAGTGGCATTTGGAAATCCTATGAAAAATGATGATTGGGATGTTGTGAACATTAACTAAGGTGGCTTTTGGCATTCCTTTACTATGCCTATAAATAAGAGAAGATGTTGAGAATGAAGGCAGTTGATATTTGTGAGCATATTTGCTATTAAACCTACGGGTTTGTTTGGAAATCCTGCGGTCTCTTTCCACCCTTCTTTCTCATCCCCTCCGAAAATCCTGCGGGCTCTTTCCACCCTTCTTCTCGGGCTTCTAACATCTTCGTCTCTCCGCAAGTGCCACTCCATCTGTATCCTTCTTCTCAACAGTGAAGCAACTTTAGGGTGTCGTGTTTTGGTTGATTTGGGAGCATTTGGACAATCTTGCAGTGGTGGACCATCGGTTTGCTAGTCTTATGCACTTTTATTATTTAACCTACAATTCGATGCATGTGAGGAAACCGCTCTAACGGTTGTCTGAGGATAGCGTCTTTTTATTTTTCTTTATTTCTCCTAATATTTCTTGTTGTGTTTGTCAAGTCTTAGTTGTCTGCTTTTATTTTAATAAAGTTTGTTTTAAGTTTTATCCATTGCAACAATTTCTTCTTGTGTGTCTACATCAAACTTGGTATCAGAGCAAGTTCGTCTTTTTTTTTTGTTTATAGGAGTCTTTCTCTTTTATGTCAAAAAAAATGGCTAATGAACAAGGGGAGTGGCAATAAGTGATGCAACAATTAAATGATTTGCAACATCAAATTAATACGGTAGCTGAGGTCATTGCTAATCTAAACGTCAATCAAGCTAACGTTAATCCTAGCATAATATCTTATGAGAGTGAGGAGGAAGAACCTAGAAATCGAAATAGGAGACAGAAATTGGGATCACGAAATTAAAATTGACGTTCATAATTTTGAAGGAAAATTACAACCTGAACAATTCATAGAATGGATAGAAAAAATGGATCAGTTTTTTGAATGAAAAGAAATTCCGGATAATCAAAGAGTTAAATTTGCAAGTTTGAAACTAACGGGACATACATTAACTTGGTGGAAAAACTTACAAAACAACAGATTAAGAATAGGCAAAGAAAAAATTCAAACCTGTGATAGAATGAAGGAAAAGATGAAAGGAAAATTTTTACCTTCTGATCACTCAAGAACTATTTTTCAGGAGTTTAACAATTTGCGTCAAAAACTGTAAAAGAATACACTGAAAATTTTTACAAATTGCATGCCATAAATGATTTGGATGAGTCTGAAGAGAAAACTATAACGAGATATCTCAATGGACTAAAATGGACAATTCAAGATCAAATCAACTTACATCATGTCGTTAAATTAGATGAAGCTTATCGAATGTCTTTTAAAATTGAAAAGCAACATTTGCGGCGAACCAATAAAATCACTGAAACATATAAACGAAGGCAAACGAGTGGAACTAAAACTCAGACTTCTATGGAAACTTCGAATGTAAAAGTTAAAACTGTTGAAAGTCAAAATCAGAAAAAAGAAAAAGGGGTAGCAGGAAATAAACCGTCTGAACAATCTAAGCAAATTGGACATTGTTACAAATGTGGGTTATATAGTCACTTGTCAGCTACTTGCAGAAAGAATAATCCTCCACGAACTAATTTCATAGAAGGTGAAAATGAGATAGAAGAAGAGGAGGAGAATGAAACAGAATCTGAAAATGAAGCTGAATTAGAAAATTTTGATTTAGAAGGTGATGAAGGAGAACCATTGTTAGTAATTCGACAAGTCTTAACTACTCAAACTAAAAAGGAAGATAAATGGCTTAGGAGGAACATTTTTAGAACTACCTGTACTGTTGAAGGAAAAGTTTGCACTTTAATGATTGATAGTGGATGTTCAGGGAACTTTGTATCACAACATATGGTAAAGAAACTAAAACTGAAAACAAAACCTCTTGATAAGTCGTATAAAATATCTTGGTTCAAAGAGGGAAGTGAGGTTCCTATAAATAAACAATGCACTGTGAACTTAACGATTGGAGGAACTTATAAAGATCAAGTTGTTTGTGATATTGTGCCTCTTGAAGTTTGTCATGTTTTGCTAGGACGACCTTGGCAGTTCGACAACAAAACTGTTCACAATGGAGAGAAAAACACATACTTTGATGCAAAATAATAAAGAGTTTACTCTTCATCCACAAAAGAATGTGCCGGATTCACCCGTTACTTCTCCTGAACTGCTTTTAAATGCTAATGATTTGAAACATTTTGAAGTTGCTTATTTGGTTTTGGGAAGAGAATCTGATACTATTTTTCATATTCCTAAAAAAATGCAAGCTTTATTGGATGAGTTTT